ATAGAACCCAAGATTTTGCCAAACTATACATAGTTTTTTTTTCCATTCAAGAAAACAAAGTAAGTATTAAATACCTGAGATCATCCACTATTACAAAAAAAGGATTTGGGAGACAATCTATTTTTATAAATAAGTAAACTGAAGCCCAGATTAGAGACTGATAGAAGATCATGCAGCAGCCTAGAGCCAATTGCAAAAACCCTGGCCCTTGCGAAGTGGAAACATTCAAAGCAAAGGGCAGTGGAAAATTTCAAAGCTGTGGTAAAGCTGACCTCTGGTAGGAAACTACAGGGCATAATGCCATTTTAATGCAGAACATTGTTGAACTACTTAGTAGGCAACCTAATTGATTTTCCAAGAAACTCCTCCATGCTTTCCACTTATGTACTATATGTCTGGATCTACAAAGTGCTCATATTTTCCTCCCCAACTAAGCTAAGAACAAGTCTCATCTGACAAGCTAAAAGGCAGTTACTTCACTATGAGATTCAGTACTCAAAGGGAAGTTAATGAGAATCCTTGAAGGCCAAGTTAGTTCTTAATGACAAAAACAAAAAAACAAAAAAAAAAACCACTGTTGCAGGGAAAGAAATGGCAAGGATGGATGTGATTCTGGGAAAGATCATATCAAGAAAGAGACTCTTTTGTATAGTACTTGAATTAAAATAAAACTCATTAAGTATTTAGCAAGACTAAAAATTATGCCTAATGGCTCGGCGCCTATGGCTTAAGCAGCTAAGGCACCAGCCACATACACCTGAGCTGGTGGATTCAAATCCAGTCCAGGCCCGTCAAACAACAATAATGGCTGCAACCAAAAAATAGCCAGGCGTTGTGGCGGGTGCCTGTAGTCCCAGCTACTTGGGAGGCAGAGACAGGAGAATCGCTTGAGCCCATGAGTTGGAGGTTGCTGTGAGCTGTGATGCCATATCACTCTACCCAGGCTCTGTCTCATAAAAAAAAAAAATTTTTATGCCCAATGAAGAGATTTAACAAAGGAGACCAGTTAACTGTCTAATATCTTAGATATTATTTAGGTTACCTACTTGTAATATTGCCATTTAAAAGAAATGCAGAGGAAAGTGAGAACTAAATCCCAGTAAGGTAACGATTTATGTGTGAAGTCTCTGAGCATAAATCACAAATTAAACCTTTATCTAAACTGAATTTTCATTCTCTGCCCTCTCACCCAAATGATCTTGGCCTCAGGAAGAAATGTAGGGGGAACGAACATGACAACTCTGTACAAGTATTTGAGGAACTTCAGAAAGGAGCAGACTCATTCTATGTTCTGACAAGAACCAGTTGTCACTGACAAAGAGGCCAATTTCGGTTTTATCTGAAAAGGTCTATATTGTCCTTCCAAATCCTGGGTAATTCTACTTATTCTTCAAAACCCAGCTTTCTGGCTCGGCGCCTGTGGCTCAAGTAGCTAAGGCGCCAGCCACATACACCTAAGGTGGCGGACACCTGTGGTCCCAGCTACTTGGGAGGCTGAGGGAGGAGACTCGCTTGAGCCCAGGAGTTGGAGGTTGCTGTGAGCTGTGATGCTGTATACAGCATACTACACAGAGGGAGAGCCTGAGGCTCTGTCTCAAACAAAACAAAACAAAACAAAACAAAACAAAAAAACCCCCAGCTTCCATGTTATCTCCTCTGGAAAGGTTTCTCTATTTTGCCCTAGGTATCCCTCACAGGTGAGCCTAAGTACTTCTCTCTCTCATCAGTACTTGTGATACTACTATAACCATCCCCTGCCTCTGTCTCTCACACTCAAACTGAATTCCTAGAAGGCAAGGGCTTCAAGGTTTTACTCATCTCTATAAAACTTCCAGACTTAGCAAGCCTTTATCAGATGCTGGTAAAAGGAAGGAAAGGAGTGAGAGAGGGAATCTAAATTAGAGACAATGGCTAGGTGTGGTGGTTCACACCTATAATCCCAGCACTTTGGGAGGCTAAGGTGGGAAGAATGCTTGACACCAGGGAATTTGAGATCAGCCTGGGTTAACATAGCAAGACCATCTCTACGAAAATAAAAAAACCCAGAACAATGAGCCCAGGTGCAGTGGCGCAGGCTATAGTCCACTATTTTGGAGGCTGAGCCAAGAGGATTGCTTCAGCCCTTGAGTTTGAGATTAGTAAACCGATGACACCACTGCACTCCAGCTGGGGATAAAGACGAGGAGGCGGAGGCTGATGAATCAATAAATAAAATGGGATACATATGGTATAATAACAAATATATTTTGTCTTTGTCCTCATTCTCAAACTCTGGGAATTTCCAGATAGGAATGTCTTTTGTTATTCAAAAGAACCCTTCAGGATCACACCTGAGTTTATACTATTGAGATGACTCACAGTGGAGCCCCAAGACAGCCTCAGGATCGAAGACTGATCAACAGAAATATAAAGCAAGTAGAGAGCTAGAATTTTCAGCTCTACTTACAAGCTCCTGAAAGGAGAAAGGGAGAAACCTGGAGAGTAAGCTCACTTAAAACTCTTGAACACTAAAATTTCATGAATTTCCAGGTTGGTGAACATGCCCAGAAACTGAGAAGGTGAAGTGTTCAGGTAGAGTATGAAAGCCCTGTATGTCCCCACCCCATGCATCTCTTCCATCTGGCTGTTCCGTAAGGGGTGTCCAACCTTTTCTCTTTTCTGCTACACCTTAGAAGAGTTGTCCTGAGCTGCACATTAAATATACAAACACTAACAAAAGCTGATGAGCAAAAGAAAACGGGAGGTCAGTTTGTGCCTAATTTTCGTGCTTTCTAACACCATATGTAAGCAAAACAATCCTCAAATAATCTATATATAATCCATGGGCCCCAAGTTGAGCACCTCTCCATGTTTTCCTAAGTTCTGTGAGGCAATCTAGCAAATTACCAAACCTAAGGAAAGGGTCATGAGAACTCTGAATTTGCAACTGGTGATAGTCTGTGAGACTGAGCCCTTTAACTGGTGGGAACAGACACAAACTTCTACTAGATTGTGTCAGAATTAAATTGAACTGTAGAACTAACTTCTTCAGTATGTTCTAACTGTAGAACATACTTCAAAGAAAAATCAAGAATTGGTTAGTGCAAAAAAAACTCATTTGGTGTCAGAAGTATTGTGTAAGAAACTGTTTCCTTTTAACACAATGAAATATTACTCCAGCATATACAACAACATGAATGAACTTAAAGTAAAATAAGCCAGTCTTAAAAGGACATGGACATGTAAGATTCCACTCCTATGAAGTATCTAGAGTAGCTGAATGCATAAAGACAAAAGAAAATGATGGTGGCCAAAGGACAGGGGAAGAAGTAAACAGGGAGTTAAAGAATTCAATGAGGCAGAGCACAGTGGCTCCCGCCTATAATACTGGCACTCTAGGAGTCGAGATGTATGTACTGCTTGAGCTCAGGAGTTTGAGACCAGCCTGAGGAAGAGTAAGACATCATCTCTACTAAAAATGGGAAATCTGGGCTGCGCCTATGGCTCAAAGGAGAAGGGTGCCCCCATACTCCCCTTGGAGGTGGCGGGTTCAAATTGGGCCCTGGCCAAAAACTGCCAAAAAAAAAAAAAAAAAAAGAATTAAGAATGAAATCTACAAGTTTAAAAAAGAGAAAAATAAATAAATAAAAATGGGAAAACTGAGACAGGAGAATCACTTGAGCCTAGGAGTTCAAGGTTGCTGTGAGCTATGACGACGCTATGGCAGTCTACCTAGGGCATCAGAGACTGTCCCCCCCCCCCAAAAAAAAAGAAAGAAAGAAAGAAAGAGAGAAGGGGGGAAAAAAAGTTTAATGGGCAGTTTCAGTTTGGGAAAATAAAACGAAAACAGTTTTGGAGATGGGTGGTGGTGATGGCTGCAAAACAATGTTAATATATACTTCATGCTACAAAACTGCACACATAAAAATGGTAAGTTGTACGCTGTGCACTATTTTACCACAATTTAAAAAATGTTTATCAAAGCAGGAAGACTGCTTGAGCTCAGAGTTTGAGGCCAGCATGAATAAGAGCAAGACCCATTTCTGCTAAAAATAGAAATTAGCTAGGCTTAGTTGCACATGGTTGTAGTCCCAGCTACTGGGGAGGCTGAGACAGAAGGATCACTTGAGCCCAGGAGTTTGAAGTTGCAGTGAACTATCATAACACCACAGACTCCAGGTGGAGTGGCAGAGTTGAGACTCTGTCTCCAAAAAAAGCATTCTTAAACCATCATCACGTTTTTCAAAAAAGGGAACCAACCTCAGGTCGGGTGCGGTGGCTCACACCTGTAAACCTAGCACTCTGGGAGGCCAGGGCAGGTGGATTGCCTGAACTCACGGTTTCAAGACCACAGCCAGACCCCATCTCTAAAAATAGCCAGGTGTTGTGGCGGGTGCCTGTAGTCCCAGCTACTTGGGAGGCTGAGGCAAGAGGATCACTTGAGACTAAGAGTTTGAGGTTGTGGTGAGCTATGACTCCATGACACTCTACCAAGGGTGACAAAGTGAGACTCTTGTCTCCCCAAAAAAGAGAGAACCAACATCTTTTAAGGGGAGTGAGGGCACTCCCACTCTCACCATCATCCACAATCCTAGAGGCTAGACTCCACAGACTAGTTTGAAAACCATAAATTTAGTGGAAAAGAGTGTTAAAAAATTGAACACTGTGGGCAGCACCTATGGCTCAGTGGGTAGGGTGCCAGTCCCATAAACCAAGGGTGGCAGGTTCAAACCCAGCCCTGGCCAAACTGCAACAAAAAATAGTCAGGCATTGTGGTGAGTGCCTGTGGTCCCAGCTACTCAGGAGGCTGAGGCAGGAGAATCACCTAAGCCTGAGAGTTGGAGGCTGCTGTGAGCTGTGTGGTGCCATGGCACTCTACCAAGGGCAATAAGGTGAGACACTGTCTCTTAAAAAAAAAAAGGAACACTGGCTCAGGACACAATGCCTCTAACAGCTAAAAGGCACAGGGTTAGACTATTTTAAAACCAAATCAAGTTCATCTACACACAGTAACTGAATACCTTTGCTTCCTCTGCCATTTTTTTCTCTTCATCTACTTCCTCAGTTTTTGCTGAATCTTCACTCTGCAGTTTTCTTCTCTTTTGCTTGGGAGCCATGAAGCCTTGGAGAAATTTCTTTATGACACTGGCTTGAAGGGCAATCACACACTCACCAAAATCCTTCAATTTCTCTAATGAAATAACCTACAGGTAATAAAAGGTTTTGAGCCAACTTTTTGGTTTTCTGGATATCAGCAAAAGATAGCAGAGAAAATATAAATATATATGTACATAAGTAATTTTTGTTTCCATATACATCTTTTAAGACATACCCACATGATTTGAGAAGTCAAAACAGTATCTGGGAATAACTCCAAATTAAGTTTTTCCATCAGTAACAGCTTTGAAAGGTTGTTTTCTTATATTCTTACCCGGGCTTCAAATTCTGATGTTTCTTCAACATATCCAAGCCCTCCTTTTTGTAACCTTGTTGCAACTTCAATGAGATCACTGCGAAGAAAGTTTAAAAGCTCCTGGTTGCCATCACAGGATTTTAGACCCAAATTTGGCTTCCGAGCCAGATGAATAGAGTGAATAATGTCCTGATACCTAGGTGGGGGTAAAGGAAAGGGGGAATAAAGGAATTTTTAAGTTGTTCTTTAAATTTCAATTACTTGAATGACATGTTTTCTTCTAGAAAACTTCCTAGATTTTTTCCATCTCTCTTTTGTGTTTTTAATAGTCTTATCAGAGATGTTTCCTGCACAAAATTTCTAATTTCTTTTTCTTTTTTTTTTTTTTGAGACAGAGTCTCAAGCTGTCACTCTGTGTAGAGTGCCACGGCAACATCATAGCTCACAGCAACCTCCAACTCTTGGCTCAAGTGATCCTCTTGCCTCAGTTTTTTGTATTTTTAGTAGAAATGGGGTCTCAATATGGCTCAGGCTGGTCTCAGACCTGTGAGCTCAAGCAATCCATCTACCTCGGCCTCCCAGAGTGCTAACTTAACAGGTATGAGCCACCACACCTGGCCTAATTTCTCATTCTTGATTCATTCTAAAACTACATTAATTTTCTTCTGTATTTCATTAATTCCAGTATCTGAAGTATACTGCTTTTCCTAGCACTCATTCATGGCGCCTGGCTTGTATATTTTCTGATTTTTCACGGTAAGTTTATTGAAATTTTACCTGTGGCTCGGCACCCATAGCATAGTGCTTATGGTGCCAGCCCCATACACCAAAGTTGGCAGATTGAAACCTGGGCCAGGCCAGCTAACCAACAATGACAACTGCAACAACAACAACAACAAAATAGCCAGGCATTGTGGTAGACACCTGTAGTCCTAGCTACTTGGGAGGCTGAGGCAAGAGAATCACTTAAACCCAAGAGTTTGAGGTTGCTATGAGCTATGACACCACAGCACTCTACCGAGGGCAACACAGTAAGACTCTGTCTAAATACAAAATAAAATAAAATAAAAATTCTCTGTCTTGAGTAGTCCAGAAGTGGTTTTTATAGTTGTAGAACCATCACAACTATTTAATTCTAATACATTTTTATCACCACAAAAAGAAACACTAATCCACATTCTGTCTATGGACTGGCCTATTCCACATGTTTCATGTGTAACGGAATCATACAACATGTGGCCTTTTATGCCTAGTTTCTTTCACTTAACATATTTTCTAGATTCATCCACTTTATAGTACACATCAATACTTCATTCCTTTTTCTGACTAAATAATATTCCATTGTTTGGATATATCACATTTTGTTTATCCATCAGTTACAGGCATTTATGTTGTTTCCATTTCGGCTATGTTGAATACTGACAAACATTTCTGAACACCAACCTACTAAGCAACATGAATATAAAACAGTTATAGACATTTAAAATATTTTACTTCAATAGATAACTAAAAAAAAAAAAAAAAAAAAAGAGAAAACCTCAGATATTTATATCTAACGCAGAATAGAAATAAGATGTAAGGAATGAGGAACAAGATGGAAATCTTTACCTCTTTTCTAGTTTTTCTTTAAGCTGACTTTCTCTTATTCCCTGAGGGTGAAGACAGTTTAGCAATTCATCCAGTTCCTTTTGACTGTCACATAAAAACCTGGAGGGGAAAAACAGACCTGATAACTCTGGAAAAAAAATCAAAACCAAACACTAACTAAGGGATCTAAGGTTCCCAGCAGGAGCTGGGAAAACAAAATTCCACATCTAACATAATTTTCTTTTTTTTTTTTTTTTTTGAGACAGAGCCTCAAGCTGTCCCCCTGGGTAGAGTGCCGTGGCATTACAGCTCACAGCAACCTCCAACTC